CTATGCTGTACTAGCATTTCTCTCCGTTTTCAGCCTAGTCCTGTGACTAGAAGTGGCATGCAGAGCCATCTCTCCGAGCACACGAGCCGTTGCCGATTGCTCTTCCGGGTTCCGGGGCGCTGACCAGCTGGTCTTCACGTGTGTGGGAGCTCCAGAAACTGGAAGTGTAGCCACTCAGTGTGCATGTGTGTTCTGGGAGGCTGCTCTTCTGGTTTCCGGCGTGTGCATGCACATTGACTAGCTGGTCTTTGAGTGCACATGCACGCCAGAAATCAAAAGACCGGGTGTCTGGTGCACATGCGCACTCCGGAAACCATAAGAGCAATCGCCTGGCACATGCATGTGCACTGGGCAGCTGCTCTTCTGGTTTCTGGCATGCACACGCTCCCATTTTGGTACTCGGTGCCGAAAAGATTCGCTAACACTGATTTAGTCTGTATTAGTTCTAAGGCCATTTAGGAGGGTGTGTATATAAATTGTGCAATACATACACACATTCTGAGAAAGCCACAACTATTTCTCTGTGGCTAACAGGAAAATAACAAGGAGTTTGGTTGAACAGTGAAAGCAAAACTTGCTGCTACCTGCAACAACACTCACCTAAATACGTTACTAGATAATGGCATTTTAGTTAACCCTTTATCGGTGGGATGAGGCACAGTTGGTGTATCTGTGCTGCTTATTCAGAGATGAAGCTTTGGATTACCCCAAATCAAACATTCTCCTGTCCGTTTGGATTAAAGATGGGAGTTAATCATAATTACAGGATTGTAGGCTACATCCCAGGGTTATTCAGGACCACCACCGAGACCCACTTAGCATTCTTACCCGAAGGAAGGAAGGAAATCCATGGCCAAAATATCCAACAGCAAAATATTCTGGTTGAGGCCTCATTGCTTTCATGATGTTCTCATAGAAGGTGGCCCGTTTTTTCTGCACATACATGTTAAAAAGAAGAAGAGTAGATTGGGTTGTGATTTTTTTTAATGTTTCTTCACCCTAAGCACCCATTTGTACTACTTTCTTCCCAAGCTTCTAATTTATTGCTTGTCTCTCAATCAGGAACATAAGAAAATGGCTTTGGGATCCATACGATTGACATTCCTCTCACCCAGTAGACAATGAAAGACCTCCTTCTCTTACCAGGAGATTGCCCAGGCTCTCATAGTCAAAGACTTTGTTCTCGTACATGTCAGCCAATTCTTTGCTTAGCTGGATGGCTTTCTCCCACATCTTCAAGGAGTTAAAAGGAAAAGAGATAAAAGAGATCATTCATTCATGAAAAGCAATGAATGAAAGTATATTCCATATGGCTACTCCATACTATTTTTGATCTTCTAGTTCTACCTTCATATTGTTTGTGATCTTCTAAGTTGATTCTGGTGGGTTTTAAACTGCTGAAACTGCCTTTCCTCCATTTTTCCATCAAGTCTTGCATGGTCCACCTTTGTGCTCCTGGATGGCCATGTACATTTAACTGAAGCCTTTGTATGGATGGCATATATGTCAGAATAAATTATGGAGTTTCATGTTTCTCTAGTCCTTCACATGCATCATAGGTACTCAGTGTTTTAAATTGTAAAATATATATATATATATATATA